TTTTTTTGTCCCATTCCCTACACGTAGCAAATATAAAATAAAACAATTGTTCCATTCCAGCTTGCGTGAACCAAACATACCATGGAATCTCCGTTTCATCCCATTTTCCATGAGGCTTTCTCTAGTGCGCATCAAAAGTGCACATTTAACTTGCACATTTTTACAAGAACCGTAAAATTATTTAACCTATATATATATATATATATATATATATATATATTAACAAAATTCAAATGTATAATTTAAATGTGCACTTTAAAAGAAATTCAGATGGGCCATGAACATTAAGCTTTTAGTTTTGTCAGTTGTAACCCATGTCTCAGATTGGATCAAAGACTCCCTGGAAATGCATTTAGGCCCATGCAGCATGGATCAGGACTTTTGTTAAGTTTAATTCTGCTTATCTTGTTCAAGCCTACTCGAAAATCTAAATATATAGAATAAATTGTAGCAATGGCCTCTCAACTAAAAATTCATTATCATTTGTCCCTCAACTTATCACGTGTAGCTATGGTCATTTTCGTCAACTCCGTCAAAATGAGTTATGTTGGAAGGACCATTGCTATAATTGGGTTAAAGTTGAAGGATCAATGCTCCAATTGAGTTAAAGTTGATGGATCATTTCTCTAATTGAATTAAAGTTGAGGGGTCATTGATACACTTTTTTATTTGATTTTCCATATTTGCCCCTTGATTTAGCTTCACATGTATGGCATGTGACTCATTTTGACAGAAGTTCTAAATGAGTTGAAGAAAGGACCATAGCTGTATATTTTGATGAGTTGAGGGACCAATGATAATGAATTTTTAGTTGAGGGACCATTGTTCCAATGGGTTAAAGTTGAGGGACCATTATTACAATTTACTCAATTATATAAGATCTATTAGAGCTCATTTGTGATTATTTCTCTCAACCTACCTCTTTTCATAATTGTTTCCTAAAAAAATATGAAAGTGCATCTTGAAAAAGCATTTGGTTTGGTAGTCACTTTTTTTTTTTTTTTACAAACGATTTTATCTACATTAAGTGGGAGAGAGTGGGCTTAACCCCAAAATCGCTAACAATAATGTGGTTCAAATTAGCCTTAAGATCTCTTACTTACAAGTGACGGAGAATACTACTAAAGTACTAAGTGGCCATTTGGCAATTACTTTTTTTTTTTTATCGATATTTTTATACTATAAAAAAAAATTTGGACTAAACCATACAATAAACAGTTTAATTTGACAGTCACTGTTAAAGGTTCCTTTGAACATGGATTAGACTAACTCCAACCCGGCAAAGGCCAATAATTTTAGGCTTTAGCCTTTTGACCCTGGGCTTCTAATGCTGGCCGAAAGATTGACCCAAGCAAAACAAAAAAATGAAAAGGCAAGATTTAAGCCATGGTTTTGGCCGTGCGAAACGAGTGGCAATTACCTCTGCCTGTGGGATTACGCGACGAAGACCAAATGCTGGCACGACGACGTGCAGGACCTGACAGGCGCCGCCGACTTTTCAATCATGCGATTAAGGGAATGTATTCAATTGAGACTTTGAGAGATTTTAATTCTTTTAATAAATCTAAGGTATTTAATTAGGATTTTAAGTGATTCTTTGAATTTTAAGATGTATTCAATTAGAATTTGAAGATAATTTATTAAAATCCTTAGAAATCCGGATATATTCAATTAGAATTTTAAAGAAGTTTATAATATTTCAGGTGTATTCAATTAGAAATTGATTTTAAAGAATTTGAGAAAGTTGAGGAATTAGAGGGAATTGAAAATATTTCGTTGTGTATTTTAAGCATTCACAAATCTCACATCTCCCCATGAGATTTCAAGGGAATTGAATCAAAATTTTATATGAAATCTCTACAAATCAATTAAACTCCATAAAAATTCATGGATTTATAAATCAATTAAAGTCTCACCCCTAAAATTAAAGGAATAATATTTTTTTTCCCCTCGTATTCTTATTATCTTCCCTTCTCTCCTCTCACATATTATTTTTTGTTTTATTGTCTTTATAAAAAAAATTAATATAAGATATTAACGTGACTAAACCGTAACCGTTCAAATAGAAGAAAATAAAATAAGGGAGATTAGGAAAAGAGAAAATCGTCCTCCAAAATCAAACCACCAATGGTTGATTCAATGGCCGTATTTCAAAATGTTTTTACTTATAATTGAACCGATGTGATGAAAAATAGATCAAATTTAGTAGTAAAAAATTACTCAATGTCCAAAATTAAAATTCAACCGCTTAAATAATTTAAAATAAAAAAAAGAATTAAACCTACTGTGTGATATTTCATATTTTTTGAGAATTTAAATATTTTTATATTAAAATGTTCATAAAATTAAGCTGTGTTAATCTAAACAAATTATTATTATTTTTTAAGTTATTTATATTAAAATGTTCATAAAATTAAGCTGTGTTAATCTAAACAAATTATTATTATTTTTTAAGTTAACGGAAACAAAAAAGGTTTACTAAAACAACATTTTAACAAATCCTTGGCCTAAAATTTAGGCCATGCTATTGAAGTAAAAACAGTTTCTGGCCAAGGGGCTAAAGCCAAAAGGCTAAATGTATTTTGACCTTAAGCCTAAAATTTGTGTACTCAATGACACAATATCTAATGAAGACGGAATCTATAATTATACGTAAAAACTTGTCTTTTTGGAGAGTGCACCGACAATATATAAGGTTTTGCGTGTGAAACCCAAATGAAAAGACCCTAAGAAATTAGGCAGTCTCCAAGGTGTAAGTGCATTAGTTTGTTTTTTCCGTTTGACTACAACGGTTATATTATTTATGGAGTGTGCTATCCACACACACCTCATTTTACTTCTCACACACATTTTAATAATTTATGTTCGTTGATCTTCTTCAATTTATCCGATCCGACAATGAAAAATTAAAAAAGTGTGAGCAGTAAAATGGGGTGTGTAGATATCACACTTTATTATTTAGTGTTACAGATTTTATGCAAAATTTAACTGTTAAAAAGATCTATTAAATCCTTATTAACGAGATTTAGCTATTAATTTGTTTGGATTATTCAATGGTATATACCATAAAAATTATTAAAAAAAGAACTATCATGGTCAATATCTAAGTCGTTGGACATATGCCAAAGGCCAAGACTTTGATTATTTGATTTTTTTTATTTTTTATTTTTTGGACAAAGAAGGGGATCAGGGTTTCAGGACTAATTGGCATTGACACTTTTTGGACAGAAAACGTGTAAGTAGTTGTCAACAGTCAACACTGATCATCTCCTTAATTTGAAATTTCAATGAACATTTTTGTGTACCATACTACTATCCAAAGATTTGGTTAGCCCTACACAATCTCTTTCTGAAAAGTTATACAGTTTCTCTATCTAAAGTTAACAAAAGGCCGGCGGGCGCGCATGGAATTGGCAAAACCAACTGCATCTCGCGCGGGCAAGTTGCCTTCTACTACAATAGTAGAGATTAGTATTATTTTTGTATTACAGAATGAGTTTAAATTTTGTCGACTCACTAATCTAACATTTAACCTAACAATTCTACATACGCAAATTGTGTCCTGTGAGCATAGTTTCCAAATATCTTACAATCACATCCGTTCATCATTGTTGACCCTAAAAACTACCAAGCCTACGTGGCGCGCAGACCGAGTAATCTATAAGCTAACTATGTCCTTCGGTGAATGCGGGGCGTGCCAACTCGTCGGCCGATGAGTAAATTGGTTGATGTCGCGTTGGGCGCGCGGCTGACTTCTGCGTCTTGCGATTGCGGCCGAGGAAGGAACACGTCTCGGCCTCTTGGGTCCTCGAACCTGAAGACAAGGCTACTATTCTTACGAAGTTCACGAATCGTCGTCGTTGGATTCGGTCACAGTGATGGTATTCGTCAGAGTAAACTCACGTCGAATCGACATCAAAGTGTAAGGGCATAGATACTCAAAGCTGATATAAGTCTTAATGGTGAACGTGGTTCGGCCGTCTGAATGTCGAACTCTAAATCCCACTTGAGAGTATCCAATCATAAAATAACTTAGCGTGCAATGCGCCGAGCTCAGTAAGCTGTAACACCTCACTTCGCCGAGAAGGCTAATGAGATGGCCTCGACCAATAAGGATTTGGAAATCCTTCTCGACCGAGACTTGGATAGGTAACCAACCGTCCTCGCCTCAATGCTGTTGATGTCAACGGAAGATGCTGCGAGATTGACTGATTCTACGGTGACAGAGCTATCTATGCCGACTGAAGATATCATCGGTTGCTTTCAAAGTGCTATTGATGCCAACGGAAGATGTGTCAGTGAAAAGAGAAAATAAAAAAATCTCAACTTGTTGAGAGAGTTTGCGCAGGGCAGTTGTGTGTTGAATTGGAGGTCCGTTTAATGGTGCACGACCTCTTGTATTTATAGTAGCTGTATATCTGCTCCGACATCTAGGCTAAAATAATATTCCTCAAAATATTAAATGTTTAATATCCCACGGATTGCTTTTCAATTCTATCTCTTGCATGCAATCAGCAATTAGTCTTTGATTTGATAATGTCTGACAACATCATCATCACCTTAAAAAGACCTAGCCACCCTAGGCTTCTTAAATGTCACTATTATCCCATACTTTTATCTTGGCATTCCCCCATACTTTTAGACTAGGTGCATGCAACGAATGTGATCAGTGGCGAAGCCACGTGAGGACTAGGAGTGGCGACCGCCCCTCCCCTCGCCGGAAAACACAGCTGAAGCCGAGGTTTCGCCCCTCCCCTCACCGGAAAACCCAGCCCCTCCATCTCTGTTTTGGCACCGGTGAACTGGCGTGCAGCAGCAAAACTGGTTCTTTTTTTTTCTTTTAAATTAATAAAAAATTTAAAATCTGGCCCACATGTCCCAAAGTTAGCCCTCCATGTCTTTCAAATTAGTGCCCACGTGAAACTTTCAGAAAAAAACCAAAAAAATATATATGTATAATGTATTGGGGGGACCGCATGTCCCTCATTCCTTCACTTTAGGCAGCCCGCATGCTTTAAAGCTGTTTTACCATTCCAAATTTCTGCCTTCCCAATCAGAGAGAGAGAGTGCAAAGCTTCTCCCAAAATCTCAGCAACCTGAGCCTGCAACCAACGCCCAACCCCAACGGAACGGAAAATAAATCCCCATTGGCTGATTTCTGTTGGCTTTTTGCTGCTAACACTAGCCACTCCAGCCGCTAAGCCGACTTCTAGCCTTCAATTTCAAAGGTAAATTTTTTAATTCCTAAATTTATAATCCCTAACCCTAATTAATTATTTAATACGAATTTTGTTTAATTAGTATAGAATGATATGGTAATGCACTAATACGAATTTTGAACAAATATCCTCAAGCATTTTATGTTCATTGTTTTGCACACCAACTTCAACTAGCTCTTGTAGCCGTTACAAAGGGAATTGAGGGTGTCGCCATTTTCTTCAACAATGCTAGTATTTTGGTCAATACAATTGGATCATCGTGTAAGCGTCGTGATGCATTTAGAGAGAAACAACAAGAACAAATTAAGAAAGCTCTTGATATTGGTGATCTTGAAACGGGTAGAGGGTTAAATCAAGATAATAGTCTCATGCGTCCTTGTGATACACGTTGGAACTCACATTATGGTACTATAGTTAGTATTATTGTCATGTTTGAAGCCGTGGTGGAGGTGCTTGAATGGATTAAAGATGATACCAACCAAGACAATTTTGGTGAAACAAGTCATTTATTCCATAACATACAAACTTTTGATTTTGTGTTTCACCTTTTTTTTATGAGACTCATATTAGGAGTTACAAATGAGTTATCACAAGCATTACAAAAGAAAGATCAAGATATTGTGAATGCAATGACGTTAGTGGAAGTATGCAAGCAAAGACTACAATCCTTGAGAGATGATGACTTTGGGGACTTGCTTGATGATGTACAAAAGTTTTGTCAAGAGCATGATATTGTCGTTCCTAACATGGAGGATTTGCATTTTGTACCTGGAAAATCAAGGCGTAAAGCTCCAAGACTCACAAACTTCCATTACTATCGTGTGGACCTCTATTTTCAAGTCCTTGATACACAATTAAAGGAATTGAATGATCGCTTCAATGAGGTAAACACCGAGTTGCTTCTTTGTATGGCATGTTTGAGTCCGGTGAATAATTTTGCATCTTTTGACAAAGCAAAAATTGTTCGTCTAGCTCAACTTTATCCTCAAGATTTTGATCGTATGGACCTCATGAATCTTCCAATTCAACTTGACAATTACATTCACGATATGAAGATGCATAGTGAGTTTTCATCATTGAGAGGAATTGGTGATCTTGCAAAGGAGTTGGTGAAGACTGGGAGGTGTGCAAGCTACATATTAGTATATAAGCTTCTTACATTGGCTTTGGTGTTACCGGTTGCAACTGTTTCGGTGGAGAGAGCTTTTTCTGCTATGAAGATTGTGAAAACACCATTGCGTAACAAAATGGGAGATCAATGGTTGAGTGATAGCATGCTTGTTTACATAGAGAGAGATGTATTTGCTTTTATTGATAATGAGCCTATTATGCGACGTTTTCATGGTATGAAACGTCGTCGGCAACAATTGTAATTTGTTTATGTTGATAAATTATGGAAGACATTACTATATAAAATGATTTGGTTGTTGCTATTCTTTTGAACCTTGCACTCTTTTAACTTCGCCCCTCCCCCCGTCAATTCCTGGCTTCGCCACTGAATGTGATGTCAATCTTTTGAAGATACACCCAAGCCGTTCTAATCCGCTGCACTGCTAACAACTTCAAATTAATCCAGACTGTTCCACTTGCTTGGAGGTATAATTTGCATCTTATCTTATCACATTCAAGAATATGTCAAGATAACTCACAAAAGATAATTTTTACAGTAAAAAACCATAATATTATCATTTAAAAATAAAATTCCTTATAGACTTTGTATTCCCTACCTAACGAAACACCTGACTCAAAATCCATAACCAAATATCCATCTTCCTTAATCGTCACCCATCTGTTGATGTCATGGCACATCTAATGAACTCTTCGTCAGCTCACCATCCATTTTTCTCTCATCCATCATCATTGACACATCCTCTCCGAAATCTCTCACATAAGTAAGCTACATTAAAGGTCGATCATCATAACTGGGCACTAGCTAACCGGTCGACCTTGAAGGTAATACTAGAGAGACTAAATACTTAAATTAAATTTTGAAAATTAAATGATGTGGTTGTTGATGATTAGATTATTACTTAATTATTAATTAACTTATTTATTTTCGATTAATGACACATCATTTAAGTTGCAAATTTAGTTTAAAATTTTAGTTAGCATTACTCATATTCAAGTATTGCCCTATGTGTTACTAATAAGAATGAGTACAGTTATCAATAATTGGGTAATAATCTAATTATTAGTTTTCATATTATTTAATTTATCAAATTTTATTTATAAATTTAACCCCCGTAGTATTGTTAAAAAATGATTAAAAAAGAATTATTCATGGTCAGTCAGTCGTTTGACGCATGCAAAGCAAAAGACCAAGACTTTGTTATTTAATTAATTCTTTTTTTGGAAAAAACCAGGACTATATTATTTGATTAATTCTTTTTGGAAAAGGGAGGGGACCAAGACTAATTGACATTGACACCTGGTTTGGGGCCTTTTTCTTGCAGAAAACAAGCAAGTAGATTCTATCTTGATTCGTTTTGTGAGGATTGCGGAGGTTTGTAAATTATGTTCGTTTATAGTACATTGTTTAATTAATTTTGATCAAGTATTATTTATGTTTAAATTTAAATAAATAATATTAAAAATATTTTTTTAATTATATGATAAAGAGACACAATTTAAATATTCTCACAAGTAGTTGCACCGCATTTATCCAAATGATTTTGCTTACTATCCAAAGATTTTACTAGTCTACAAAATATCTTTCTGAAAAGTTAAAAAGAGTTCGGTTTCTCTTTCTGCTATGTCTAAATGGCAGGCGAGCGTGCATGGCATTGGCAAAACCAACCGCGTCCCGCACACCGAGATTTTTTTTGGAGTTAATTAGATTCAAACTCTCAAAATTTGCATTTTTTTTATTAAAAATTTATGTTTTTTAGAATTTTGATCAAGACGTTTTTGGTATATTAGGTCATATCAGTATTTTCATTTTTTATTTTAAGTTAAAAATAAAATTTGAATTTTTGAAATTAAAATTTTACATATTGATTTCTAAATTTGTCCTTTTAATTAGTTGATAGTTTTTTTTATACAGCCATTTTTTTTATTAATGAATTTTAGGAGTTGTGTACTCTTTTTAAGGAGATAATTTTGGTTTTTTGGCTCAACATACCTAATTATCTCTTTTAATTTTTTTTTATTCAAAATATTCATTTTTTTTAGTGAAACGATAGCGTTAGTAAGTTAAATGTTAGATTAGCCATTGACGAGATTCGAACCCACGCCGTCATGCAAGGGCATAGCACATTTCCACCATTGTGGTAAAGGGTCACTTGCTTCAAAATATTCTTTTAATCCTAGTGTAAAAATATCAAAATACTAAAAAAAATATACATACATACATACATACATATATATATATATATCTTCAAGATAATTGAAATGATGGATGCTTAGACTTTTTGTGTTTATTATTTTGTATACTTTTTGTTAGATAATTATCTTGTATACATTTGAATTTGTACATATTGTTGATTGGTGATGTTGTACGTTTATTGTTGGTTATCATACATTTATTTTGTATTGATTGGTACATTTAGTTTTAGTTTTCGGTATGTTTGATTTTGTACATCTAGTTGATTGATAGGTTTTTTTCTCGATTTTTGGTGCAATTTCTTTTCTATATATTATTTAATGTGCCATTTATTATTATATGGATACAATTAATTTTATACATATCGTTGATTTGTACATTTACTTTTGATCTTCAACATTGTTTACTAATCTGTTTATTTCCGATTTTGGTAGGTTTTGTGACAGCCCGTCTTTAAATATTTCTATCGATGGCATGAAATGACGTTTTTACCCTTGAGCGTTTTATGATGGTGTGTGTAAATGGGCTAATGATGTGGACCAATTCATTTTCTTCCTAACTTTTTGGACCCAACTAGAACTTAGATTTTTTTTATTGTGTTTTTGGTTGGGGACCAGTTTGAACCACACATACACACCCTCTTTCTCTCTCCCGTTGACTCACTCTCTCTCTCCCTCTCGATTTTTCTTCCCATTTTCTGTACAAATCTTACGGACAAGCTTCAAGTAACCATTTCATTCACGGATCGAAGATTCAAATGTTGGTTTTGTGTTCCTAGCAAGCCTAGGAACACATTGGTACCCTTAGTTGGTCGCGAGAACGTTGGGATCGTGAGAACTCGAATTCCGATTTGATGCACTGTTCATGCACACGTAAATGTGAAGTTTTTAGAAGATTTTAAGCCTTTAGGAAGCTTTAGAACGTATTCACGAAGCTTGGAGAAGAAAAACGAAGTGTTTTGGATGTCGGGAAGTCAAGTTTGGCGAGTTTGAAATTTGGCCGGAATTATCATGCTTTCTCCGACGAGATCCCGTGATTTTTAAAGCTTGAAATTGGTAAGAATTTGTTCTACTTGTCTTAAGCTTCATTTTGGTATAAAATTGGTGGATTTTGGTTGAGAAATGAAGAAGATAAGGTTTTCCGAATTTCCAGTTTCCGGCGACCGGCGATTCGCTAGAAGAGAGGAGAATATTCCGTTAATATTAACAGAATATTCCTAACGGTAGCTAACGGCGTCAAGTTAGTTTTAACGGAATAATCCCTAACGGCGGTTAAGGATTCGGTCAGGGTTGGCCGATCGTGGGGGCGCATCTGGCCGTGCCTTGGCCAGCGCGTGGGTGATCGAAAAAAATTTCTAAAAATATAAGGATGTTCATGAGGTTGTGTAGATCACGTTGGTATATTTAAACACCCCATTTGAGCAATATATGAGAAGTTATTAACTACTTTTGTCTATGTGCTTTAAATAACGTTTATTCAGTTATTTCGCATATAGGTGAAACCTATCCTGAGGACGAGTGCAGTCAAGGGCGACTCAGGGGCTACGACCCTTTGACATTCCAGTGAGTGGGCTTTTGGTTTTCAGTAAATATTTATATACTCGATATTTTCCCAGAAAATGTGTTTAAATGAAAGTATGCTTTGAAATGCCATGCATATAAATTTATATTCAACATATGAATTAGTATATGATGCATAATATGAATTGGTGTTGTGGACACTCAGGTAAGTACCAGGTGAGTTATGTTTTGTTATATGAGATATTGATAATGTGAGATGTGATTGAGAGCTCATAAACCTGCACCCCAGGTGATTATGATTTAGCCAGAGATATGGTACATGTCTGTTTATGATATCACCTCTCGCACCATATACTCACATTGGATCCAATTTAGGTGCACGGTCTTGTCGTACAAACCACCATAGGTGGTTCCGACTTGTAGGTGACAAGCGATTTATCGCACAGCTATCATAAGAGCGTAGTATTGAGCATAACTATATTACACCCAGTCTTGTCGTACAAACCATTATAGTGGTTCCAACTCGTGTGCAGTTGTAGTGCCGTATAGGTCACTGGTGGTGACTCCGGCTAGATTGATTAATGAGCTATGAATTCAGCCGTACAGACCTCTGCAGGGGTTCCGGCTAATATGTTATTTTCCATGAGCTTATTCTCACCTGAGTTACTTATTATGTTCTATATGTTTGGCATGGCATACTTATGTCTATGGTTATGTGAAGCATGATTTGAATATATATATTCTATTTTTGGGAAAATTATACATGTTTTACGGTGAGGGGTTAGAGCACTTGATAAATGAAATGATTTTGAAAAGCTTTGTTTTTGCCCACTCACGTTTTCTGTTTTGCGCCCCTCCAGGTTTTAGGTAAGCTTGTTCGTTGGTGGCTCATGAGGATTTAACAGAGGTTCTGACAAACTATCACAATGTAGGACATCTTTGGGTGTCGTTTAATTAGTACTTGTTTTCTAGACTGAACTTAGGCTACTTATGCTCTGATTTGTGAATTCGCACATATTTTAGCACTTGTCTTAGTTAGCACTCTTATGAGTTGGGTTTCATTTATTTGTATTCTCTATATCATTATTACTTCTGCATTGAGCATATGGCTACGTCACCCTCACGCAACGGCCAACATGCCTTGATTTGGGTCGGGGTGTGTCAATTTGGTATCAGAGCCTAGGTTTAGCAGTCCTATATAGCTCGTGAATATTGTAATCATTGTGATGTCTTCTGTCAGAACTATGTCGCCTCGTAGAGAGCCATGTCACCCAGCTGAGTTTGGCTTTCCTGATATTGCTCAGTTAGAGGAAACTATAACTAATGCCATTCAGTCTTCGCTCCGTCCTCCTCAAAGGACACATCTTGAGACTGTGTATAATCTGAAGCTGAATCATTTCATGGGTAATGAAGGACATGAGGGAGCGGAGAATTAGCTTAATCATGTTGAGAAGACTTCCCTTGTGATGTAGAGTCAGGGGAATCTTCCTCCTAATAGGTGGGTCAAGACGACTACCTAGTTTCTAGGTCCGGATCCTGCATCCTAGTGGAGACAAGAACCTTATCAGATGCCACCAGAGGTAGCAGTAGAT